ATCGTGCTAACTCGATATAAGGATATCGTTGAAAATTCAATTTTTTAATAAAAAGTTATTAATTGCTATATCCTCGAGAAATGATGAAATAGGTGAACCTATGAGGAGTCCATAAATTTGGTTATAAAATTGACTACCAAACTGGAAGATGACATTCTCAATACTAAACTCGATTAACTAATCTTAGAATAAACTTTCTTTTATTAGACTGGTTTCACTTTTCCACGATTCATCAGAATCCAACAATTCATTTGGAGTGACGATTACTTTCTCATGATCTACTGAAGTGAATAAAGCAGTTATATCTAAAATGGCTAGTTTATTTGTTTTCTTAACCTTTAATTTATACAACTTTGAACAAAATCTTGGGTATTTTTGATTGATCTGTTATTATCAGCTACTAAGTTTGTTATATTTTTAATATATTTAGCCACTGCTGATCCATTGTATCTCTCATCGATACACTTAATTGCATCGCTGTATCTGATTTTGAACCTTTAATTGACCTCGTACAAATGGTAATTTCTTATTCTTTAATAATATCTCCATTTTGTCCTGATCAATCTCGTTTTTATCATCAATTCTGATAGTAACAATTTTTTTATGTATAAATTTGGATGGATCTTCTTCTAACCGTTTATACGCTTTTATATCTAATTTTTCGCGTATTTTCTTAATATAATCAACTACACTCATTACATAGCTGGGCAGTTCCGATCCCTCTCGGCTTCAAGCTTTTCTGTCCGGCCCCGACGTCGGCACCCAAAAAGCGAGAAAGAAAGAACAAAGAAAATAGAAAGAGTACTATTGTTCTTTTGAAAATCTTTTTGAAGTACAAATACACTCTTTAACTGCATGATATATAAGACTCACATAAAGAACCTTCTTTCGAAAGCGTTACATTTAATAGAAGGAGGTCAAGACTGAGGCAAGATATATTATCGTATCATCAGCGCACACATTTATATTACTATCTGCCGTAAGAGTGTCATTTTTACCTCGATCGAACGTGTACACCATCATCCGTACACCGGCTTCGGCTCTGAACTCAACGTTTTCCGTTCAGCTCCGGTCCCGTTTATAAACGGAGACATCCAGCTCTGATTCATTACGACTACTTTATCTGGCGATATCTCAAGAATCTCTTCATCATCTTTTAGTTTTCTAGTTGATTTTCGTTGGATTCTATTTAAATTTTCTTTTTTTTCGTTTCATCAGTATTTCTATCAGCGGAGGAAATTCAACCCGATAATGAGTATACGCTACCTCAACTCTTCGAGGGACCGTGGAATGACGATAGCGATTCTTATTCAGATTATTAAAAAGTAAATCATTCAATTTTGTTTTAAAATTTAAAAAAGAATTTGCAATCTTAACTTCAGAAGGTAGCTAATCCTATTCAGAGGAAGCAAGAACAAATATGTATGTTTTATTGCAAGTCCCTTCAGATGGTCGTAGAAAGTACTCGATGACCGTTTGACCCGTGTTGTAAACATTTAAAAGTTTGATTTTCATTTGATCACTCAAACATTTTGGAGCAGAATCGAGTATAATACGCCGAAAGAGTGTCAGTCGAATCTTTGAGAAATGGAATTTCAAAGGTAACAAGTGGAGGTTATTCAGGATTTTTTCGTGAGATGATGTACACATAACTCCAGGCACAAATAAACCTGCTTGGAACTGCATTTTATTCAGCTTGTCAATATTACATTCAGGTGTCAAAGAATACAGAGTAGATTCATAATTTAACGACATAACATATGCGTGGCAGGAAACGTTCAGCGCTTTTGCGATTCAACCATCACTTGTGTGGACGCAGTACACCAACGAGAAAGTTCAACTTTATCATCGATAGCATTAGTGTTCAAAAATAGAGTAGGAAGAGACATAGATTTTATTTGGTGTGATTGCGTGAATAGTAGAGCCGTACATTTAGCCACATTGAAGTCAAACAGCCACTTTCTTGACCATACGGCTAAAAGGCTTAAGTCACGATTGAAGGAATCAGTTGATGCCTACATATCATTACCACTTCCAAATAAAATATATTACAATAACAGTTTGGAGTATCGTATCATTCTAAAATCAGAACATTCTTTCTCGAAAAAAATTCTCATTACACTTTAAAAGACTGCTTGTTTAACTCTAAATGTATAAGAAAGTCAAAATTATGAACGAATAAACCACAGAAGTGGCATCAACAATAATAATCCGATTGCCAAATGTACCGTTCGTCCACCTATAAAAGAGAAAAGTAACAAATGATTTGCTGTATTGTTGTATTCGATAAACATCAACTCACCATTAATACAACGTTCAATTCTTCTTCCGTCACTATCTGTTAGTGACACTAATTTAGATCGATCTTTGCAACGACAAATATGTTGTAAACATAATGAATTATCATCACACTCGGTATCAGAATCGCATATAAAACCAACAGCTTTGGCTAAAATAAGACAAAAGTTAACAAAAAGTCAACGACAGGCATATGAACATATATCGATCTATAACCACATACCACATTTTACATCATTTTTATATGTACCAGGTTCATAACATCCACAGACATTATCAACACATGTTGAACCTTCCACTAATGTGCTACAAAGGGTTTGATCATGTTCACATTTATCGTTGAAATTATTACGAACTAAGGAGATTAAAAGCGAATGATTAATGAGAAGAAATTGCAAAGACTCACTGGGAAGCCGAGACTTAATATTTTTTCAAAAGATTTTCCGCTCAATTCTTTACAAAAATATAAGATCAGTATTCGTACAAGTTTTTCTCTTTGATTTAGCGAGTCGTGAGTAAATGAGTAGAATCGATTATAGACAATTAGTCACCGGATTCAAATTGTATTCAAAGAAAGAAAGTTGTTAAACAGTCGTATACATCCGCTATTTCTATCAGGCAATAATCTTCGATTATGAGTTTTTCTTTGAGAAAATCCTGTTAGAAACTGCTTTTTTGCCATCTATGCAAAATAGCTGTTTCTGATATAACTCATAGATAGGGCTGTAGCCTTCATTTGGAAAAAATTTCAATGGGAATGGCGACGGTTTTGCCGTTGACGTTCTGAACTGTCAGCGTAAAATATTATGTCGTTAAATCTTGTTATATTAGAGTTCAGTATAAGTAGAGAGATACACCACTAATCATCTTCAGCTTCTCCGGAGAAAACATAATTAAAGAAAAAAGGCAAAACACGGAAAAAATAGGTAAATTTCTTAACCCTTTTTGTCAGACAAGAGATCTTCACCCAAATCATTGTTTCTCTGAAAAAATGAATATATCACTAATTTAAGGATCTTAGTTCATTGGATTTCACCTGATGAAAATACCGTTGACAGTTAAGAACGTCAACGATTGAGATGCAGTTGAGAGTTTAGAACTTCAATCGATGAGATGCCATTGACCGTACAGAACGTCTGCTGATGAATTATCGCTGACAGTTGAGAACGAATTACGGCTACATCCCTACTCATAGAGCAAAAGACATATTTTTCCGCTTATATTATGCCTTTTATTAATCAATCATAATAACTGTGAAAAACTGTCCGACAACATATTTGACAAATATGTTTTTCGAATAAATAAAATTCTCGAAAGTTTTATTATCTTTCGTCAGAGTGAACAAATTTTGACGCTTATTTGACCAAATCTTTTCACAACTTCTCTATTTCAAAAATAAATTAGCCTTTATTTTACTAATCTAAGTGAAAGAATAAGAAGTCTTACCACATTTATTATGTTCATTTTTGTAACCAGACATACAAACTGTTCGTTCACAAGTATTATTACATTGAATACCATTTGCACTCGTTGCCAATATATACGATGAATTACAATATTGATATGTATCAGTAAATGTGGGTCTTGGTTCTAAACACTTAACACATATATTTTGACATATTCAATGGGTTATCAATTTTAGCTTACCACAATATGTTTTATCTTTTGATGGATAATAACCGTTTTTACATACCCAATCGTAACCATTACAAATATAATTTGTGTTTGCTGCACGATTACCTTTACAACGATTGTTCTCTTAAAAAAAAGGAAATTTAGTTTTATTCATCACACATATGGTATGTAGCTAACACAAATATTTTACCACATGTTTTGTTTGCTGGATTATACAAATAATCTTTTTGACATTGACAAACTTTATAATTAGTTTCCAAATAAAAGCTGCAGACAGTGTTTAGTGTTCTGTTACAATCGTCATCTGCATCACATGTATACTTTGGTAGTTCACGTAAAGCTGGATAAACATAGTGCGCAAATCGTTCTACAATCAGGAAAATATTGTTGTTGTTTTTTTAAATTAATATTCCTCTGTTTACGTACCACATTTATTTTCATATACAAAACTTATTTTACGATCACATAAACAAATTTCTGTCTTATTAATTGTGTCACAATAAGCTGGAGAATTGTATAATATTCTACAATCTGTATCTGTATAAGTTGTACATAAATTTTTTCCTGTTGGATTATCAGCACCATCAAGTTGAAGTTTATTTTCATCAATTCTGTCTAGATAAATAAAAAATATTGGATGAATGTATAGAGAAAAATATTTTGTTTTTTACACAAAATTAAAGAATTTCAAGTGAAAAAAAAGCTATCTGATATATATTTACCACAGGAACGTCTATTTTGATTCGAACGATAACCGGGGTTACAAATACATTTTTTACCATCATATACAGCATTTTTTACACAAATATGCGATATATATGTTAATTCTTTATCAAGTTCCCAAACTTAATTAAACAAGAAATAAAGATATCTTTTTCTATCTTATTATAGAGCAGATATTGTGGATCTATATACGCACCACATTCAATATCGTTAACTTTAAATGTATATTGTTTACATTGACACCAGTTATTAGAATTTATACTCTTAACTTCAACTAATTCCGAATAAATACCGATACATTCCTCGTTCGTTAAAACGGTATTTGGTAATGGGGAAGGGGTTACTCCAAATTCAAATAATTGTAGTGATTTTGGTACTGTAACAAAACAAACAGAGCATTAACATCAATATTTTTCTTTCGATTTTAGAGAAAAATACAGACAAACGTATCAACATTCTATTTTCATCATTCATTATTACCACATGTTTTTTTATCATTTGTTGGTTGATATCCAACTTTACAATTACACTCCGTTCTTTGTGGTCCTAGTTGACTATTTTCCACACAATGAATCACACTGTTTAGACGACTTGATTGTGTTGTATTTAAAAACACAGCTATATTATAAGAACGAATGAAGAAATGTTTTATAATTTATTTACCAGTTGATCCTTTCTTACCACAAACATCTGTACCGATTCCCCGATGATAAAATGAAATTCCTTCTTTGCAACGACATTCACCAGGTTTACAACTTCTACTAAGTATACCGTATCTACGAACGCATGACGCATTTGCAACTGCATCATTAATCAAATTCGTATCACAATCGGTGATTGTTTCACTTTTTGACAATTGAATTTCTAAAAGAAAAAAGAAAAAAAAAACAGTAGGAAATATTTTTTCTATAAACTATTTGAAAAGAATTTGACGTTTTCATGCCAAAAGACAGTCAAAAATACAGAAAACAAGAACTTATCTCCACTTTCATCCTGATGCAATTAAATTTTTTCGCTCAAATTAGCCCTGAAAGCACATTACTAGACGCAGTCTTCTGCGCTGAATACGAATATCAACTTTAAAACGAACGAAACTCAAATTTTTAAATCGAAAAACTTCGAAGGTCATTTTATTTCAGTTTTTTGGCCTACTTAGCTTTTTAAAAAGTTTCAGAAAGTACATCAGTGGATAAAGAATAAAATTCTCTACAAAATGCCACTATTGACTTTGTCAAAACAATCTTAGAAAAAGCATTTTAGGCGCTAAACACGTTTTTATTGTTTTTTGCCGAAATCAAAATGGTACATTTTTTGGAACAATTTTACGAATCAAATTCATTTTTCTCTACCGTCTTTTTCGCTTATTAGAGGGCACTCGATTGTATAAGGCTCCGTGCAAATCAAATTGATAGAAGTCTTTTTAGTGGTAGAAATATAACAAAACCGACTGCAAAAGACAGGCAAAAAATGATGTCTCGGAGCCATTTCGTTTGTTTCTTTTCATTTGACCATTTTCAAGTAAATAGATGATTCAAAAGCTCCTTTTATGCTCTACAATTTGTATATTAGTCTTTTTTTCGTAATATCTCTCGTTTTAGAGCATTTTTCAAAGTTCGTAGAGCACTAGAAAAAAAAGGTTAAAAGATGTAATTCCGTCACAACATCTATTTTGCTCATAAAAATCGTTCTATCTGACTGATTCATTCTAAATTTTTACCACAAACTAAGCATTCTATCGCACATTTCTGATAAAAATTTCGTCACCTTTTGTTCAGTATCTGAGGAGAAACAGAGTCCAAAAGTTGAAAAAATGTAATTCTGTCACGCGCGTTTAGGCCGATGTCTGTTTATTTCTTACCACAAGTTTTTTTATCATTCGACGTAAGATAACCGCTTATACACTGACATTGATTATCACTGGTATTATTGCTGTATGATGGGCATTTATCAGGTTTTGAGTTTTGCTTTTTATCCAAATAGGAAACTAAATCAAAAATCAAAAATCATTTGTTCTATTATTAATCAAATTATATTCTTATTTTTTTATTTTATGGATATTTTTGATACGCACCACATTGTGATGATGTATAATATGATACATTTTCAATACAACGACATTCACCAAGTTTACATATTTTACTAAATAATCCAAATTTTTCAGTACATATTGCTGTTGCAGCTAAATCATTTATATCACATTCTTTTGATGTATCATCATATTTTAATTCCAGTTCTAAATGATAAAAATTATGAGACATAAGTTATCTGTGGCAGAAATATAAAAGCATGTTTTGTGTAACGTCGACAATAGAGATTGAACGAATCCTGGTCGAAACTACAGACTTTGTAGTGAGCTTTTTCTAAAAAAGAGGAATTAAGGAGGATTGGCAAAATCTTGAAAGGAGGAACACCACCAAAAAAGGAGGATATAAATCCTAAGTTACTTCAACTCAACTCGATCTGTATTGTATTTTACTTCTTCTTGTGTGAATCATATGAGAAAAAATTCATTAGAGAATTAAGAATCGTTTTAGAAGAAGTGACAATCGAACGACTTTTGTACCAGTTCTATATAGTCTTATAAATTTATATTAGCCCCATGAGGATGCCCATATATGGGCAAAAGTACACCTCTGTAACTCAAGAACCTTGATAGCTCGGGACTTCTAATTTTGTGTGTTCATAGTTCTTACCGAATGCTGATAACTCAACAAGTTTAGGTCTCTTTTACAGGGTGGTTTGTAAGATACAAGCGATTTATTTCTTTTCTTCAGGGATGAGTGTGCAATCTTTCTGACAAAAGTTTCACATACGTTTTTCGGAACCATAGGCTTCTATGATTATTTTTTCATGATTATGATGTACATCGAATGCAGATTCCATGGTAGAAAGAGCGACCCTCAGTTCCTTACCTTTAATTTCTACGTATGTTTTAATCGTGGGTGCTCGCTCTCAATGAATATCTAGAACTACACAATAGTTAATCCTCATACTTTCGCTAGATAATCTACAGACACTGTACAGTCTTTGATGCGAATTTGAAGTCAAAATGATTCTCCTAGACTGAGTTGTGACTTTTCAACAAAAAAAAGCGATCCTCACCCGTAAAATAGTTGTATTTCACTGGCTACTAACAACTAACTCATGAAATTCGTGTAGTAGATAGAGTAGAGTCGTGGGTACAGTTCAGTAAAAAGACAAAGTTTTCATCTCTCTTAAATCAGGACTATTGATATTTTAAAGAAGCGAAATAAATCGCTTATATCTCACCAACCACCCAGTAAAAGAGGCCTAAACTTGGTGAGTGATCGGCATTCAGTAAGAGCTATGATCACATAAAATTAGAAGTGGTTCTTGAGTTACAAGGATGCTGCCACTCTTGCCCATATATGGACCTCCAATCCTCAAGGGGTTAGATAGTATTTTTCAAAAATATTAAATAAAAAATCTTGTCAGAGCAGCCCAGTTTGTGGCCAAAATGTGAAACTCCTCACGACTGTTAATTCTTGAGTTTGTCTTTTGATATCATAACTATAAATCCTGTACAGTTTCAAGACCATAATGAGGGACACACTAGGTATTGTTTTAAGATCATAACTACAAGAAAAAGGGGGTAAAAAACAGCCAAAACGCTAGGGTACTGAGTATACACCAGGTTGAGCAAAAAGTTCATGATCATTTGCAAAAAATTATAACTTAGTTTGGATTTGTTTCCGAGACTCGATGCTTTTTTTAAAACATGCACGGCGAAATACTCTACAAAATCATATCTAAACTATAATTTCAGAACTTCAATGAAGAAAACTAAGCCAAATAGACGAAAGTCGAAGAAAATGTAAACTTTCTAAACTCAAAAATGATTTCTTGTGTTGAGGTTTTGATAGTAAGAAAAACTGAATTAGCCGTTTTGTAACCCTGATTTCGCTCTATCTTTTAGCTACGCTTCAAATTTTTTCACATCAAAAGCTACAGCGAAATAATCGTTTTTCTATCGGTTGTCATGTATTTTTTAAATTTTGGGTATAGCAGTGCTTTCGGTAAAAGTCCCATGACTCAATCAAAATGAAAGCTTTTTCGCTCGGGTTTGCTTTGCTTTGATCAGAAATGATTTCTCTTCTCTATCTAACTGCAAAATCAATCTTCGATCATCTTTTCCGTTTCTTGATTGAGTACATTGTTGGAAACCCTGAGGCTGTCAACTTTTGATGTATTTTTGTAACTTCGTTGTCGAGCACATCATCTACTCTAAAAATGTTTTTTTATAGACCACGAGAAAGAGCACATTTGAAAGTACCAAACATAAGCTAAGTTCTCTCTTTTGCTACACTTTTTAACGGAAATAGTAGCAGAAGAAAAGCAAGTCGAAAAAAATTTTGAGTTTAGAAAGTTTACATTTTTTTCGACTTTCGTCTAATTGGCTTAGTTTTCTTCATTGAAGTTCTGAAATTCTAGTTTAGGTATGATTTTGTAGAGTATTTCGCCGTGCACCTTTTAAAAAAAGCATCGAGGCTCGAAAACAAATCCAAACTAACTTATAATTTTTTGTAAATAACCGCGAACTTTTTGCTCAACCTAGTACATTCCTCCTTCCTTCGGAAACTGTTCGAAGAAGTTCGACGAAAGATTAACACTTACTACATTCAGTTAAATTATCCGTTTTGAAGCCCGGTAAACATTCACATTGTTTCGTCCCTTTATTGTATATTGCATTTGTCGGGCAGTCCGAATTGTTTGTTACTGCTGTTGAATTGATCGGTCGATTTAGATAGTAAACTTAAGTAATAAAAAAGAAAAAGGATATTTTCTTTTTTTGATAATACATAATTTACACACAGCACGCGTACCACATTTTCTATCGAATAATGAATCTTGTAGAAATCGATTTAGACCACATGTACAAATATATTTTGATGCTGAGGATCGTAGTTGACATTCCAATGGTGTTACACAAAGAGTAGGATCGACAAATGCCTTATTTGTAGAATCCATTCTTGTACATAAACCATATTCTATGTTATCATTTTTATACTGTAAACCGTCTTTTCTGACTACAACGGTAGAAAAAGAAAGAAAACATCTTATATCTATATGTATAATAATTTTGTTTCTTATTTAATAAATAATTATACATACAACAACGATCTCCGGAGTATGTACTAAAATAAAAATCAGAATCACTGGAACATGTACATAAATTTATATTATTATCATAAATCGTTTGATTTCTATAGAAAGAATTAATTTTAGGTGACTCTGGACATGTTTTATTATCGGTAAAATCATGTTGACGAATATCGGCTAGATTTGGAAATACAACATAAAATGCTGAATATATTGTTCCATGTCGAATTGATTCTAAATAATAAAAAAAGTTTTTATACTATAAAGTTGAAGAAAATTTAGTAATAATTAAGAATATACATCTTTAGTATATATGAACATTAGATTCTCATAAATTCATATAAGAATGAGTATATAAATAATAAATAATCAGGATAAATCATGTTCTTACCACATAAATTCGTTTTAGTTTGATCAAATCGTTTTTGATAACCAGCACGACACCAACACGATGAAACATTACCAACACGTGTACAAACAGCATTGGTATCTTTACATGAAATACATTCAGGATTGGGTATCTCACTTTCATTCAGTGGTGATAACTGTTCAGATACAGTTAGACCTAAATATTAGTCATATGTATTTTTATATAATGATAAGCTATAAAGAATGGCAGGCTCAGTATTTTCCGTTTATTTCTTTTAGTTTTCATTTGCCAAGATTTGAACTTATTTTAAAAAGATTCCTCGTTTCCATTACTACAAAAAACATATACAACATCTTTTTATATATCCCAGAAATAAAAAAATATTGGTGAAATGCTACGAAACTTCAACTTCTATTACTTTCAAAACTAAAATATAATGAAAAGATATTTATTTTGAACATGATGCTATGCATCAAAGTGGGATAAAAACGTACGTTTTGTTGCCTCGAAGTGTCGTCTTTCTTTTCATGTATCAGCGGTTGGCTTTTGAATATGTTTTTCTGATACAAAAGGCAATTTTACCACAGCTTCCCAAAAAAAAGAAAAATTTCCTTCTTTTCGCCTTGTCATTGGAAAGGAAACGGAGCTATCGAACTTCCTTTGCTTGGATGTAACAGAAGAATTATTTTGCTTTGAAATAAGACACACCAGGCCTCAAACTATTTGATTTTTGCCGATTTATAAAACATTTCCCAAATGCCATCAAAACTGCAGTTTGCAAACGACGATTTTTGATAAAAATGATACAAACAAAAACTTCTCACGCAAGTAATTGTGATTATGAAGAATTTTAAACATAGCCAATCGATAGAACTTTTCAAGGGCTACAAAACGGACACCTTCTTCTATTCTGTATCGCATACTACAAGGTACTAGAACTGAAAAACTGCTTTTAGGTTTGAAAATGCTAGAAATCGAAGTTTAGCAGTATTTTATCTATATTCTTTTATTTCTACGATATATAAAAAATGTTCAACATGTTTTTTGTAGAGAATGAAACGAAGAATCTTTAAAAGGATGCTTAAATCTTGGCAATGAAAACTGAAAGAGATAAACGGAAAAGACTGAGATCATCATTCTTTATGGACCACCCGTTAGTTAACTATGCCACTAGATGTACAATATACTATACATACTACATTTTTGATTAATATAATCTGGTCTATAACCATTTTGACATTTACAAAATAGATCCGTTCCACTTGTATCATTTGGACAATGTGAATTTATAGGCTGACACTGTTTATGTATTTTACAGAGACCATTGTCTTTTTGTGCATCTTCCAATTTTGAATAAATATTAACAAGTCGTAATTCTGTAATAGAGTTAAAATATAACGACAAGTGATTAAGTAAAAAGAAACATAACGATACGTACTGCATCGATTTCGATCAGATACATAACCGGGTCCACATTGACAGGTTGTTGAACAATAACCGGATAAACATTCGCTATGATTGCTACATGTTATAGCGAGATTTTTTCCTATATTGCAAGAAAAAATACGAAAGGTATAATCTGATACCTTCCCGTACAAAAATGAAATTGAAAAAATAGCTAAAATATTCTTCTCCATGTGTTACCATAAAAACATATCGAAACATTAAACTCTACATAAAAATTTCGTAATTGTTTGAACAAAATACCGTTTTTCGATTGAATAATGAAAATTCTCAGATCAAGTCAAAGAGAACGATTATTTTTTTGTTACTTAACAAACTAGAAGTATACGATGCAATCCTGAAAAGAGTCTTTTACGTTAGCCATTCTCGAACGAGTGATGTATCTTTTAATCTGACACGACCGTCATCTTAGTCCTGTCTTTACCTTAAAAACTTGATATTGGAGACAACACAAGGACTCCAGTATCATACGATAATTATACTTACGACATAAGCCATTATGATTTGAAAAACCATTCTCACAAGCACATCTATTGTTATCACATCGACTAAAGGGTAAACAATTCTCTGTAGTTCGACATTCTTCGTCAACATAACGAAATCGAGGACGTAATTCTAAATTATATTCATAAAGTCAATCTACTTCTCAAGAACAATAAATACTTACTACATTCGGAATTACATGGTGTATAGAATGGTGTGTCACATACACATTTACCATCTTTACATACGGCATTAGTTGGACATTGTGTATTAGATGGTGTACATGTATCGTCTAGTTGGGCTAGAACACATACAAATACAGAGAAATGTTTTTTACCTTAAATAAATCGTTAGTAAAATTACCTGTGTAAGCTGTGTTAAAAAGTAGCGGTAGAAAAAGGTAAAAATTCATTTTTTTCCTTTATTTGTTGAAAGAATAGAAAACAGTATTATATTTTGTATTATTTGTGATACTGAAAGTATGTTGTAGTTATTAGAACAAAACCAATTGAAAGTAAAACAGCTCCATACATATATATATATGTAAAAAAAGCATTTTTTTCAAAATAAAATGAAGAATCATCGACTCTCGTCTACTCCATGCCTTTCCTTTCTTTAAGTAGTATCAAGTCACCAGTGTATTTATTTAAAAGCATTATTACGTATAGATATGCAAATATATAATCAATGCTATAACGTCACTGTGCTGAACTATCATCATCATCCACCTTTCCTTCTTCCCACCTGCATAATGTACGTAAAGTAATATGCATACACAATCAAAAATTAGTAATAGCTACTCGATTGATTAATAAATATTAACGAGACTTAAAAATAAAAAAATGAGATCAATTACCATCTATTAATACTAGCTAATACAGTTAAGTTCAGTTTATTTAGTAAAACCCAAGGAAATATCAAAGATAATTAATAGAAAAGAAATATCTGTAACCCACTATTCCTAAGTAAGTACAAGAGTAAGACGCAACAAACAGGGCTGATGAAAATTAGACAGGAGAGTAAAAATAGTATATAACAATGTAGAACAGACAAATAACAAATCATAATGACAGTAAATAATCTAAATTTTCTTTTTCCGATTTATGTATGAGATCATTTAATGCAACAGAAAAATATTTTACAGATGGATTTTCGGTTACATGACTTGATAATTTGTTCAACTTTTTAATGGTAGGATTAACGAAGTGGTGAAAACGATTTTCTTGTTAGAAAAACGACAGGTAAATAGTGGAACAGATCCCTGATGAATGTCTAGCATCAGACGTTTTTGCCAAATTAAAACGTGACCGAGCCGTTTTATGTTTTAGTGTTTTGAATAAATATAGTAAACGAAATATTTTTCTGTGATGAACAAGTGACTCGAGTTTGATTTTAGCAGCAACGATTTATGAAAGTGAGCGAAAATCGTTACATATCGTTCTACAGGTTAACCTTTGTACTGAGTTTAACGGTTCGAAATGAGTGACATAAGTGCCGTCAAAAAGAACACATGCATATTCCATTAAGGGTACTCCTCTCCTCTTTTTGGGCTTTCCGTAGAAATGCTGTGAAATAAAAAATAAAAGCCGGTAGGGCTTTGTATTTCCAGAACTGATTGGAAACTCACTGGAGCACTTTTTCATTTTTGTTTCAAGTTTTCGACTATTGCTGTTCACCAGTTTTTCAGAAAACTCGGTTTTTCATTGTGCCACATTACGACCTTCCTCAAATTTCATCCGATCGAGTTCAAAATTTGCCCAAAGGCACTCAAGGTCATTCGGCAGAGATAATTTTTGAAAAATTCTTCTGAGACCTTTCCTGGTCGAGTTACAGGAAAAATACTGAAAAACGTCTCAGAAACCAAGTTTTTCAATTTTAGAAACCCTAGTCTAAAAGTCTAAAATAAAATTCAAAAAAATTACTTCTGAAATAGTGTCCTGAGTCTGGTAAAATTTTGAACTCGATCGGATGAAACTTAAGGGGGGTCGTAATGTGGCACAATGAAGCCTGGTAGCAATAAAGTAGTTTTCGAGAAAAAACACATTTTGTACATAGGTCACTTTTTTCAGAGCATTTGCCGCGATGTTTATATCTGCGCGAAATGTCATCGAAAAATTCTGTATGTCTTAGTATCAACCTTCTATCTCAAGAAAACACTTTCTTCTGTCAGACTATGTGTAAGAAAAATTTTCATGTACAGAAAATGAGAGAAAAGTTTATGAAACTAAAAAATTGAGTTTTTGTAGGTTTTGAAGAAAAAACTTTGAAAATGCATAACTTTTTGAGAAAAAGTCGTGGAGTACTCGGAGCGGTCTTATTTTGTAGCCCACACTTTCCTCTACATTAGGCTATGCTCAGCTAAAAATCCGAAGTTTTTACAAAAAAGAGAGAAGGGGTACTCTTAAGGCGCGGACAGAAGTTTTATAAAGATAAAGTTTGAAATATAACATCGCATTACAAAAAGTTCATTTTATTGTAACTAAGTACGTCGTAATGATTGGCTTTTTAAATTGATCGGCAAAGAAGCGTTTGATATATCGGTAAACATCGATGTACAGTCAATATCAAAACTGTCAGCGATTTTACTGACTTATTCCAGTGACAATTGAATAATGAGGAGAAAAAAAGAAAGAGAGACTGTGACTGTTGTATTTTCCTGTCAGCGCATCTATCTATGTGTGTTGTCAATGCACTATTGAAGTTTCAGATATCGATATGAAGGTTGCGGCGCCACCAAACACAAGACTTTCTAACGATGGGAAAAATGGGTATCGAACTTTGATCAGTTACCTAACCCCACCAAACGCTAGCAGATATCTAGCGAAAGGACGAACGACTATGCTAATCTCTTCCAGATGACATAGAAGTATGGTTGCCTCAAGTGGAAAGTGTTTCAATTCAATTTCGACGCCGTTTTCTCTGGTTCGTCCGATTGACAAACGGGCGAAGTACTCGCCAATAAAGCAACAGAATACAGTAAAACAACAAAAACAGCCCACAGCGGTAAATCGCGCATGATTCTCGAATGACACATACAGATTTTCATTATAGAGGCTATAGAGATACGAGATGCATAGGTACGTGGAAAACTTCCGTTCGAAGTCGATCTTGACGACAGTGATGACGATGAACAAACCATCTGTCATATAAGCGTGTAATCTCAATTTTGACGAAGATCCGCTGGACTTTTTCGTGAACCCAAAGATCCATTTCCATTTCAAGATGCGACACATGACGAGACTGATCTTGTCAAAGACCTTCTTCACGGTCAGCTTCTCTTTCTACGTTTTCGAAGCACATCATGATCATACGGAACACACGGCGGATTGACTGTACACTAACCCGCAGCGCGCTAGTATATAGTTTTCATTTTTTAGTTTCTAGTATGCAGTAATGAGTAATCAGTACTAAACTTTTAGTTTTTTGTTTCTACTATGCAGTAGTGAGTAATCAGTATTAGACGTTTAGGTTTTTTGTTTTTAATATGCAGTAATCGGTATTAAACTTTTAGTTTTTTGTTTCTAATATGCAGTAGTGAGTAATCTATACTATATTCCTCAATGTTTGTGATTCTGTCTGCCTGTGTCAGAATGCACGCCCAAACGGTAAGGTCCAGAGTGATGAAATGATACACATTGTTTCTTGGTCAAGATGTAAGATAACTACCGAAAATTTCATTAAAATCAATCAACCACGATCCGAGTTATTTAAAAATGTACATATATTCACTGATGAGTGTGACGGACGTACATACATATAGTCATGTGACAGTGTGGCGGACGTACATCCACATGGTGATTGATGAGTATGGACGTACATACATATAATCACTAATTAGTGTGATGGACGTAGATCTACACAGTGACTAATGTGTGACGGATGTACATACACTCATGTGGCAGTGTGACGGACGTATATACGTATAGTGATTAATGAGTGTGACGGACGTATATACGTATAGTGATTAATGAGTGTGACGGAGGTGGCAACATCAAGAGTCGGAAGTGGAAAGAATTTGTATGTGTTGTGCTGCTGACCGAAAAACCAGAAGCATTGTCTACTACCAGGCTTTAAGTGAAGACTAAGTCTGAATTTCTATTAATTTCTGTTAAATAATGCTTTTATAGCATGAATTGAAGAAAACTTTAATAACATTAAAAAAAGACAATTAATTCTTTGTTCAAGAACCCGGACAACGCCTGGTATTTCTGCTAGGCAGTACTAAACTTCAAGTTTTTAGTTTCTAGTATGCAGGATAATCAGCATTAAACTTTGCAGTTTGGTCATGTTCTCGTTGAAAGATCGCAGGCAACCACCTCAGTGTTTTGCACAACTATCCCAAGTCTTCATTCGTTCAGGTGGATGAGTGGCAGCGGTACAAACGCACGAAGGACAAGAGAAGAATCCATTGCTCCAGGTTCTTCTGTGAAATAATTCTATCTTACAACAAATACCTCTATATACTTCTTTATGCATTGCGACATTTCTGCTTTTGAAGACTTTTTATAGCTTTATTACACCACATTCGCTTCTGCTCGTTATCTTTCAATACGTGGTCGTTAGCTTATGGAGCTACAGTATACGGCATACATCTTTATATATTTCATACATCCTCATTCATCCTGACACAGCTTCACACAGCTTTATACATGGTCCTGTAAGAGGCATTTATCCATGCTGAACTTTACTCGTACCCGATAACTGTAGATAGCGCTATATATAAGAAAGAATATCCGATTGAAGAGTGCATGAGCGTGAGATTGTATTGAATACTTCTTATTGGTTGAGGTATCTTGAGACTGCTTCTTGTGACCGTGTGTTTCTAGTGCAGTTTGCCCGTGTTCTGAACGCTCGACAGTTTTAAAAAGCAAGAATTCGCACTACAAAATCAAACCATGAATGAAAACTACAATTTTTGCGCCTTTATCACTTACGTTCTTACTACATTTGTACATTGATCCATGCTTATTTCAAATGTTTTTCTGAAAGGGTTTCTAGAAAACCTCAAGACAAAAACATCATCTTTTAATTTTTTCGATTTTATAACCATGTCGAGCGGACAGAATTAACTATATCCTGAAGTTTTGAACTCAAAAATGCACAATGCACTCCAAAAGCATCAGAGTGTCGAGTATCGGGTATCCAACTAACAAAGCCTTCTCCTGGGTCTTATTTTAATTTGTGTTTTTACTGCTTTTTGTGTTCGGAAAAGCAGCACAGTTTTATATTGGAATTCCCCTTTTCTGGGCTTGATGTTACTGATGTCAATATGTGTAAATTGATCTTGTTTTCCTTTTAAGAGTACTTGTGGACAATAAAGTAAAAATGGCGAAATATTAGAACGAGTTCAGAACTTCAGGATGTGCGGTATTTAGGCTGTTTTATATACTTTTTATAAGAAATCAACAAGAAAAAGTTTATGAAATCCTATGGTTTTCTGAAAGGGTTTCTAGAAAACCTGAGGAAAAAAAGATAAATTAAGAACCGTACATAAACGATAAATAACAATAATACAATCATGTTCTTGCAAAAT